TATATATATATGTATATATATATATGTATATATATATATATATATTATACACGCACAATATATATATGTACATACGCATACATGTACAAAGAAAGCTTTAGAGTTTACATTTCTGTTTGCCTTCCAGGCTTTGTAACGTAAAATCATTTTTACAAAGGTGTAAAAACGGTAATGTTCCTGGACAGAGTGCGATAGAACCGAGCGTGCTGGAAGTTTATGCGGCATAAAAAATTCCGCCGGAAAGTCATTGATCTCCACACGCGCGCGCACCACGCACGATCATATATGCCTGGTTGTTGTTATGTCTATTTTGTAGCATATAATATCAATGTAATATAAAATGCGATTTTTCAATAGTATATATTTTACAGCACATTCTTAGATCTAGTGTATGATCTGCAAATTGAAATGTGATAACAGTCGTCAATGAAATAGTACATTATTGTATGTACATAAATGGACGTTAATGGACTTGCTTCTAATTACGTCAATCGCTACATAGTTTGTTTCTTTTTAGTAAAACAATATTCAAGAAAATTTCGTGCGTGGTTCATATTTGGGAACAAAATGATCACGTCCGTTACACGAATGTCGTGTGATAAACGATCAACAATTAATAAATTAATAAAGAATGCGATAATTGTCTCGTTCATTTGTCACATTTTTGTCAATTCTCGGAACACATCTGTATGGTAACTATATGTATATTGTTGATGAAAAACTTAGGGGATAAGATAGCCAAAAAGGATATAAGATAAATATTTAATTATAATATAAGTCATAATATATATTATACATACCGTAATTTTCATAATACGACACTGTGGTTGTATATTTATTGAAGCATTTCCTCACAAGCGAAATAAATAGAAAGGAAGCAGAGAGAAAGGAGAAAAAATAAGAGGAAAAGAAAAAATAAAAGCAGAAAATAAGAGAGAAAATGGATAAAATAAAGTAGTAGGAATAAAATAAATGGTGAAATGTTCAATCCAAAATAAATTGACAATTTATTTGGAGACGTTTCATGATACAACCTTAATTAGTTTTTGCTTTAAATTAAAATGTCATGGATAGCCATAACGCACCCGTTTTTTTGTATTTCGTATAAATTGAAAAAAAAATCAACAAATTTAAACCAAACATATCGCCATTTATTTTTTTCTTTCTTTGTACATTATTTTTCTATCCGGTCAATTAATATCTCAACACCAAATGAGAGA